CGTAGCTAGCTAGCTAGCTAGCTACCTAGTTATTTCGCCTATCCGTCCGCCCGTATGCACAGCGAATAGCTTTCGAAACTGCCGTTGTTTGCCTCAGTATGCTAAGGTTCACGTGCTGCGTAATTATTCTAACTGTAGTTGCTGCTCCGAGCAACATGCTCGATAGAGCATGGAGGTGAAAAGCAGCGAATCTATGAAGAAATATCGGAGTGTAAACTTTACATTCTGAGGCCTTTCCACCCCGTATGGCGGTTCCAGTTTTCCTTCGGACTTGCTATTATGATCCTACACTTGTTTGTCAGTGAATATCATTATTTATCCGTGTACATCTCTGCTAGGCAGACGAACTGTATCTTGGTGCAGAGAGCTGCACTAGATACTGGAACAAAGAAATTCATAGCAAAAGAATTGAATTGATGTCTGAATTCGCTTAATATCTAAAGAATGTCAGACGCCCTGCAACAGAAAGACCACGAAAACGAAAATTAAGCATATGAAAAACTACATAGCCATTTGTGATTTGCCTTTAGCGTCACGTTAGTACCCCCAAAAACTAATGTAATTGTTTGTATATTAATATGTTTATTTGAATATTCAGCACAACTCAACCAGCTTTCCTTGTTTCTCAGTCGAAAACAAGCACAACACAGTCACAGAAGAGATGCGCAGCCAGAGAGACAAAGTGAATAGTATAGACAAACAATGATGTAGTAACAGTTTAGAGATGCGAAAACAAACAGATCAAAGCAAACATACATAACCAGACAAATGCACGCTTTTCATATGGTTACTTGCCCCCCTTGAAGTAGATATTGCAGATGTAAACACAGTCGGAGGATAACTTTATACGGTTTATGCTGCTTCTTGAAAGATCATATAGATCAGATTCCAGCAGTACTACTTTCCATAACGCTCTTCGACTTTACCGATTTATTTTAACTTCTTCAGTTTTTCCTCAGCAGGATTGCTTGCAGGGGCAGTAATGCCAGCTTGTGTGAAAACAGCTGAAGCTACAACAATATGAACATACAAGTGTTATATATATGTGCTGCTCTACTGGGAACACACACACACACACACACACACACACACACACACACACACACACACACACACACATATATGTATATATAT